TAGACATATCAATCATTAAGCCCGAATCTGGCCGGTAATGTGAGGGCGCTTACACTGATGGCAAGTCTGTTGGGATTTCGCGGTCACATGACTTTCGCGTTCACCCCTCGTTTACGCAATTTATATTTATTTTTCAAGAATTTTTCATCGGAATCGCAACAGACTGCAAGCAAGCCTAATTCACATACATCACGCGAAAAGAGTTTTGATCTCGCATATTCAAATTGAATTGATAGTGTTAGGTCTGTCATGTCTTTTCATGTGTCACAATTTATTTTGTCGAGCGGATTAGTGTCACCATTGCATTGTCACAATTGATCTGAAATATTTTACGTCATCCTGTGGATGCCACTTATTCCAAGATAACAACCAATTTAGCGATTGGACATGCTATCCGTCATATATCTAGTCAAAACCCTTGACAGGAACTTCTCCATTGTAGCCAGTGACTTTTAATTGTATAGCGAAACATTTACAAAGGTGTTTTGGTTGACCACTGTATGCTCGCTTCTTCCACGCATACTATGTACTGTGATTTTATTTTAACAGCAGTAAGCAAGCTGAGAGGATGGGAAGTTATAACACCTAACTAAAGACAGTAGATGAAACTGCCAGGCGAAAAACTCAAGGTGAATGCCAACCCACTAGATGTGTTTATTGTGTAAATATTTATTATGATAATTGGTTTGTTTGTCACTGTTAGTCACTGTTGATTGACATGTCGTTAGTCTAGTAATTGAAACCCATAATTAGTGTTAGACCAAGCTATCTTATTACATGCTTCAAACATTGTTTTGTTACACATAGGAAGGTAGTCAACTCCCAGAAACTTGATTATATTCTCTTTATTTGGACTATGCAATCCTATTACCAAATGTTATATGTTATTTTGAAATACACTACGATTCTTTTAAAATAAATGCATACGAAATATTTATCTATGATTAGCAAATCTGACAAGGGGATATTCTGAATAATTGGAAACGCATTGAAAAAAAGGAAAACTTTATTTTGAATGCTCGACTTAGGAAGTAGTTCTGACAAAACTCGCTTTATATACTTGTAACAAGAGAGCACGGAAGACACATTATTGTGTGGTGTATGGTGTGTATTAGAGGTGTGCACACTCTGTATAGAAGAACATTTTGTATTTTGTTGGAATAAATCACACAGCATTTGTAGCCAATCAAGAATTATTAAAATCGTCTTCTGAATATAACAAACCTGACCAATTCACATGTTTATAGCGGGAGGGTCGTCACCTGCGCACGCGCGGCAATTGATTCCCGAGCGACGATAACAACACACGCTAAAAACGCCAAGGCTCATGGGTGGACGCTTGTTTGTAAACAATGACACGCTAGGGCCATCTGACGCATGCGCAGGTGACGACACCTCCGAACGATGTGATAACCTGGTACGCCATGAACTAGCCGGGAACGAGCCTACAACTTATTGATGTAATAGAACAGGATATGGCGTACAAAAGAAATACGTAAATGATCTATTGAAAGTACAATGAGATATTACATTGGTAAAATTACATTTAACATAAGTTATTCAACAATAATTTGTAAATATATTGAATGAAAACAATTATATGTGATACGTTTATGTATCAGTGATTTTAACACCATCCTGGCGACCAAACACCACCAAAATTTGCTGCATCACCAGCTGGGTCAAATACTAAGTTTACCGGCGGAACTAGATCTTCACGGTATTCATCCAACCGATTACTTAATTCTTGTACTATCTCTGGATATAGTTCGGCGATATCGTTTCGCTCTTCCGGATCATCTGCATTGAGAGAGACAACATGTATTCAACTATCACTCAGTATTTTATGACATAGTTCGAACATAAATGTAAATAGTATGGACATTTAGCGAGATGGTATTAATGTACAGTTGTTTTGGCTCATTGTGGTCAACAATTTTTAATAATGGTAATTCAAATAGTGGACTAGTGGTGAACATTTACCAGGGTAAATTTACTAGGGTGTCTTTTCAAACATTTAAAATATGCGTTGTTAAAATCTATACTAGTAACTTAGCAATGTGATGTCTTCAATGACTTAACATTTTTCAGGTATATTCGTGATATGGAAATTATTCAGATAACATGCGCATAAATTCACCTTGGATATGTCCTTTCATTTTACTAATGATTCACTAGAAAGTATACTTTGAAAGTTGCATTATACTGCAAGTATAGTACAAAACAGCAGTTGTCGGATTCCAAGGTTATGATTAGATTTACTGAGTTTTAATATCTAATATTATGGCAAATATTACGTCTTTCTCCATTGCAAAAGCTATGCAATATAATTTCTCATATGGTATTAAAACTAATTTGTAATTTTACATCACATTCACCATGCTGTCATCATGGGTTAATGTCAGAAACATAGCAAAATACCAAAACAAAACCAGATTACTGGACAATTAGATGAAAATTGAGAAAAAATAGCATATTTACAAATGTTTCTAAAGGTAAAATGATTTCTTGATATCGTTTGACATGAGAAGAGAAAAGTCACATAATAAATCATAGTATTGTTTAAAATTGCCAGTTTTATATACAATACAAATATATTTAAGTCACACAAAAAGTTGATTATAATGATGATACACATAACCGTATACGTTACCACATCATGTGAAACTCCACATACTTCTTGATCATTCATACAAGGTGGAACGCATGAGCATGATATACAGAATGTAACATATAAAATCCCTTCACACGTCAAAGGTCATACATACATGAAACAAGTGACTAACTTATGCTACGTCATTCATACCTTTAATATTGAACAGCCACGTTACGTTTGGTGGAGGAGGTAAATCTTCACCTGGGGGTTCTGGTAACGCGTCTATAGGGGCATCACCATAATTGTACCAATCATCTAAAATACGCATCCATTAATATATATATATAAAATCGCGGAGTTCATAAACGTATATACTCACTAACAATTCTATGAATAGAGTATTCACGCACTGTCATCCATACATTTATTTGGCTGCACCTGAGATCCAATGACGCTTCAATCGAGATTCCTACGTTTATTTACCTGATCGATTTGCTAGTCGAAATGGATACAATAAATCCGGATTTCCTGTAATCAGTTTATAATCGCCAACCCTAGCCAAATTAAAAACATAATTCAAAGTGACATTATATTCAATATATATAACAGACATGCTAGTAGTATACACAATGTAGAAAGCATACTTACTTATTCGGGTTCGTGTGTTTACTTGATAAGTATTACTTGATAATAATAATAGTTATTAATAGTTATTATTATCACAATCGAACGAAACAACAGAGAAACTTAATTAACTGAAGAAAAACGTAGACTAAACGTTCCCCTACCAATTCCTAAACAGAAATAAAACACACTACAATGCAGTGATGCACACTTCGGGTAAATAACTGACTACAAGAAAACGTGTGGTTAAAAGGTTCTTTATTTAAGGTAAAGGCAAATGAGATCGACAGGGCAGACTGTAAAATATTTCTACCACCCACGTTACATACGTCATGCTCAGTGACAAGCTAACGGAAAAGACCATATCCAGGTGTGTGAGAACAGATTGCATAAAAGTATTGAGCGCCTTTTCATCTCGATTTCACAGCGCATCTCCAACAGAGAAACAGACAAAAACAAGTAATCGATTAGTTAAACGGCAATACTCAAACTCATACATTAGGCCTCGAATGTGTGCGGTGTTTACATATCTCAAGTGAATCAGTAGTGCCCATGTCTTTGCCGTGGCAAAAATGTAAATGAACAGGTGAAGGTCTTGTTAAGAAACAAAGGCACATGACTTAGGAGGCAGTAACATAACTAGCATGAATAAATTACTGATTTAGGAAAAGTGATGCGACCAGCAATGACCCTGTTTTAGGTCGGCAAAGCATTAATTTGAGACATGCATAATATATGTTGCACAAGGAGTCGTCATCGCTGCAAATAAGGCCATTCTTTTAACGGTACATCGACCAAATCACCTACTTTCATGACGTCAGTAAAGTAAACTTTCAAAACCAGACAAAAAACATAGCAATCCACAGTTACCACGCGTCCACCCAAAATCACGCCCAACCCACACATTGCATATGTCTTATTACGTACATAATACTTACCTAATAGCAGCACCAGGGGACAACTCGAAATCATCGATATTATACACAAATTCATTTCTTGGTGATGGTGCACCTTTAGAGAACATCTCCCACATATCCATACCGTCAATATCAGACTCTGTCAAGTGTGATGTACAACATATTACATAAACTCTAATCAGATGACAGCGTATACTTTATCTAAAATACTATGTCAATACATCACAATAACAAATGTTAACAAGTCGCACAAGAACTCACCAGATTCAGCCCCAGCCAATGTAAGTATCGTTTTATGCAAATCAACAATATGCCATAACCTGCAACAAGTGAAAGTTAATTTAAGCTTATCTTGTGTTTGTATATTTGTATTTAATTTTGTTTGCCCTAATATATAATTGTACATAGTATATAATACTCAAGAAATAAACTTAGTATTCTGAATTTCTTAGTGACATATATTTCAACGAGTGTAATTTATGTTGAAAATTTCAACTACTAATTGAGTGCGATATACATGATAAAAAAAAACTACTTAGACAATGCGATAACTTTGGTAAACGTGGTGACATAACCATGGCATTGAAACATTGAAATATTGTAAGGGCAGTGCAACGCGATAGTCGTGCCAAGTCGTAGTTGATATGGGACTAATTATGTGAAATGCATTGTTTGTTTACATGAAATTCCAACATGCGACGATCACTGCCCTTTCACCATAATTCACCTACTCATTATTAACATATCCTGTCCGTTTCAACATTCTTCCATGGGCAATTGCTGGGACGCGAGTAGATCCTTCAAACAGCGTTGCAATATTTCCCCGGAATGGCCAATTCGACCCAGCCTGTGATGCTGCCGCTCCATTCTGTGTGAATAAACATGCATTTGATCAAACCAAAAAGTATGAAGTGTTATTAGAGATACATACACAGTAAATCTACACAAGATAATTTTTTTAACAACAATATTTATCATCGAAAGAAAAACGCATATTATCAATCCTAATGTAAAGTCAACATTGTCAATGGCAAAGTAAATTACTTACGTCACTAATAAAAATGAATAGCGTCTCGTCCCACAATCCTTTAGTTTTTAGCGCCTCCACCACACTGCTAACGGAATCATCAATCAGAGACATTTTCCCTGTAAAATAAGTAAGAAAACTTGTCCTTTTACATGTAACGCCAAACAGATAGTGATACTTGGTGGTCCTATGTGGCTGTGTCGCAAACTGTAATTCTCAACAAGTAACCTGTTAGTTAATTTAGCGTTTATATGTTTGCCATGCACAGTATGTGGACAATTTGATTCACAATGCCATAGAAGGTAAACTATTTGAAAAGTATACTGAATAATCGAGTCTTATCTGCAAAGTGTCATAATTCTAAGGGTTGTGTTAATTATGTCAGCAAAATCAATGCTTTCCATCAACGCTGCCATGGAACAGAGTTTTATGTGAATGAACTATATTAAAAATTACACAGCACGTAAAAACGTTTAGCTTGTTGTTGAAGATCTTACAAAAAGCATAGTAACTGGGTTAGTGCAACAATTATATTCAACACCAGTCAAATGCAACTATTTCTAGATAAGAAGAAATTCAAATCATGAGAGCTGTCTCTCTAAAATTGTGATGTAATTCAGGCAGGACACTTTTATCGTTTTACTAATGACTATAGAATCATTGTTGTTATTGTCTGGATGCTTGATGATAGTTGAAAATAGGGTCCCGGGTTTTAGTATCTATGACAACCATACTACATACCATAAAATGCCCTGGTTCGGTTATCTGCAATATTGGAATACAGTGCTTCATACTCAGGTGGTACCTAGAGAAAAAAACACACATATAAGTACACTTTAGATCTGCACATATATGTTTAGACGATAGGGAAAATTGTGCTCAAATTAGTAGTGATTTACCTCAGGAAACTTTGCAGGTAAGTCCATATTGTACTGAAGATATAATGGATATTCAACGTAATGTCCCATTATTAAATCAACTGCTCTTTCAGTAAGCATGTACTGTAGTGAAAAACATATATACAATATGGCGATTTAATATTACACAATGTTCTTCAAAATCACATATCAATAATATACTAAGGAGTGAGATTGTTTCTAGTGTACTTTGAGGTATAACTTTATATTATTATACATATTTTCCTTCCAAGGATACATAATGGGAATGCCGAAATCAAAAAACTTTTGAACAGAATCAGCGAACTTCTTTCTGTGGAGTTCGGTCAAACCCTGGTGGCAGCCAGGTTTTTTTTTCTATTTTTAGAGAACGCTTATGCGCGCAATCATTCCATATTTGGAATTTGCATTTCCTAATATGGTAGGATTAAAAAAACCGCGTAAAATATCGCAAAAGTACGGCACGCTGTAACTTATGGCGTTTCGGTGAAAGAAGTTTAATAATATTAATTATACTCACAGTAAGATATGTATTACTTTGTTGTACCACGCCCATGTTGTCACGGAAATCATCTAGATAAAATAAACATTTCAAAGATGTGTTAACTGATTCTAAACGTGGAGATATTGTAAGAATCTAGAAAGAATTTGATCCGAAGTCTAAGGAACTAAAATATAGTTAAACAATTTGCGGATTACTGCTAAAATTACGAGTAGCAAATACAGCAGTAGTACATACATACATACGCATATAAACAGTTTAAATTCTGTTTTTTTTTACTTATACTATTTTTTTTACTTACAACCATTGTTCATTTTAGTATAGTGCGAATATATTCCTCCCGCCCATGGACCATAGTGCGAATCGAAGCCGCGTTTAGTTGGTAGAAAATCTTCCTTACAAAATCCTAAATTCCACCTACAAATAAAAACCGCATGTGTTTGATTGGTCAACATTTTTTCCATTTTGTAGGCGTTATTTGAAAACGTTTCGTAAGTGACGCTAATAAATATCATAGAAACAGTCACACACATCAAAAGATCTGTAGTTGGTGTTATTTCTAATAAATGTTAGATAACTGGTTTCTAGTGAAGTGCTGGTTAATATCATTCCACACTTTCCCGTAACATGTCATTATTTAGGCTCATGCGGCGTCCTGGTCGGAACTCAAATCAGCGATTGGAACTAGATCTGACAGTTTGGTATGTGTGGTTTCCAGATATAGCGGACGATTAATCAAATAGATATGACGTGTTAAGTACTTCGTACGATTGGCTACATGCGAGTATAATGTTTGGAGGCTACGCCTTAAGTTTTTAAACTCCCTTGTAATTGGCTAAAGTTTTGGAAAGTAAATAAAGAGAGTCTTGGACAGATCTCCATGAGAGAGGCGAGTCTTGAGAGTGCTCCACGAAGCAAGAGAGTCTGGGGGACCTTTCCCCGAGGCATTCTGTCTTGGAGAGTTCTCGACGGGCGACTAAGACTAGAGAAGTTGACACGATTCCATTCCCTGTGTGTCTTTGTTCATTCGAAGGTTGCAACATAACGATTCCCCGTGTGCCTGACGTAATGTTTAAGAACACGATAATTAAGCCATCATATACGTGTTCATTTGTGTTGCTGAATATGACGTGGAAAATTGACTGAAACCGGCATTTTAATATAATTTTAAGAATGTAGAAAAGTCAATTTTAAGTTCAGCAAGTTTTTGAATTTCTTGGGAGAACTGCTTGTGGCATCCTGGTAGATTGTAACCGAATCTTAATGAATACACATTTAATTTGCATCGTATCGAAAAAAGCTGTTTCGCTTTTAACCTTGAGCAAAATGTAAACAAAAAATTCTACTCTTGGAAGTTATTACATTTTTAAATAAACCAACAAACATTTACAATAGTCCACTTACTTCCCGATAGCATGAGTAAGATACCCAACATCTTTAAGTCTTTCCGGTAAAATTTTATATTCTAATGGCAGTCCAGCAGGTTGAAGACTGATAAGAAGTTGATGCTGTAAAAAATGATTAACTAACTAATATGTAAATACTTAAATAATGAATAACTAAGTCAATATATCAATATAAAACGGAAACATTCTTCAAGATATTAGATAATCTTCTTTTATGCGATTTGTTCTCTCATGCTCATGGTAAATGATTTGAAATCACGCTGACGTCAAACAGTAAATCGGTACACACAAGAAGTGTATACAAGTATACAATTATAGATAAAATAACGATGTTCCAAAATGACCTCATTACCTGATTTCCTGTTTTAAATGGATAATAGCCAGTCATTAGAGCAGATCGTGATCTAAAGAATGAAATATACATATTTTATATTAGAACGATTTACATTGTATACAATGACAATATTCCTTGTGATGTAGTACCAGCACAGAAGTTATACTTGAATCAAGTCAACAAAAATACACACATATCTAAAATGTCATTGTATTCACAATAATTAAATGTTATGACTTACGGTGTACAGAGAGGTTGGACATATGTGTTGTTGAATATAACGCCATCAGCGGCGAGTTGATTGAGGACCGGCATTTTGATATCTGGGTTGTTCCACCCTACGTCATTCCACCCTAGATCGTCTGCTATTACGAGAACAATGTGCGGTGGTCGATTCTTGCGCACTGGTGAAACAAATGAATAATTTAAACGTTTAACATTAAAACACAACTACATGTCGTGTATTTTCAGCATATGCCCTGGTGTGGGATGTTATGCATACATTATGAATTTTCATATTTTGTCTTTAAATTTAACATCTGATGACAGTCAAAAGTAAGCGAAAATAGTGAAATGTGTCATATATTAGGTAGACATTGTGATCCCAGGCGTTATGCTAATTAGCGGGTATTATCCATGTATGGCGTAGTTGGTATACACACTGTACACTTCATCTATACATTGAGGCCAAATAAGGCATGATGTTTTGCTGAGTGTGTAAGAGTAAATCTTTAAATCAGCGCAAGAGCAAAATATGGTTGACGTGATAGGGTGGTGGTATTAGCATTTCAGAGCACGAACTGTTGTACAGTATTATCGTGTGTTAAATTATTATTGTGTAAGTCTGTTTTGTTGAATTCGTGTGTTAAATTTGACTGCCCTATCTAGTATAAGTTACTTCGTGTCCTCAAATGGTGAAGTATTGTAACCCTGTTTATTTGGTTTACCAAGGTCGAGATATGCAATATTTTATAAATTACATCTATGATTTTTGAGTAATATAATTAAATAATTTGTATTATGTATAGTTTTTTGCATTTATTTATTTATTTATTGCAATTGGGAAAATCGATATTTGTGTATTGTCACAAGCGTTTCAGCTTATGTATGAAGACTTTTTCTGTAGCTAACCTATCAAAACTATCGAATGGAAAACTTCAGTGTTGATCTGATCAACTACCTAATTGACGGTGAAGAAGCCATTTTATATAATGTTCACATATGACTAGACTATAGAGCAGTTCTACGTCGTTACTATGATTAATTTTATTTAAAGTACAATATTATACAGGATTGTCTAGTTTTCCTACACACCGTTCTTATTTGTGTTTCCTCTTTGTTGACTTAGTTCAGAATGGGCGACCTTCAACTCTGTCAATATGAATTAATCGGAACGAAAATTATTGCTCATGGAAAGGGGACAAATGTAACTCTAATTTAGTATTTAAATAAACCTGATATTTATAGACAATTTTTCAAACTCATTTTTCAAAATAAAAATTTCTTTAGATTAACC